TAAAATGATCATCGTCCTTATTTTCATCCATTTATTCTTATAATTTACTGTTGTCAGTAGTAAATTAAAAACAGGAAAAATGTAATCTAATAAGCGTCTGGATAGTAACGTAAGAAGTATTAGGATGAGAGAATTTCAATTATGAATTATTTGCCAGCCATTATTACTATGATAAATAATGAAAGTATCGTCTAAAATCTATAGCGTACATGATTCTTATGAGAAAATAATTATTCTATATGAGGCATGACAATAGATAGAAATAGAGGTTCTGAACAGCTGACTATAGTCACTATTTGTATTTGGAGATAAGGCTAATAGAGCAGTAGCTAATGCAAATAGATACCGAAACATCCTGAGTAGCTTGGGCTTCAGTTTGACCTGAAAGATGGGCAGAAGAGGTAGAGACGAATTCTTTTAATGCGTCGTGAAAGACTCCATCTACGCCAGTAGGGCTGCTGGCGGCAGCAGCCGCCACTGCAGCAGCTGAAGTCAATAATAAATTATTGACTAGATCGGGCGGAAACTGGTTGAGTTCGGAGTCTCCAAAATTCTGAAAGGCAATATTCTCAGTAAGTGTAGCCTCAGGGTTATGGCTACACGATGCTTTGCTTGAATGCAATCTTGAAGATGCCAATGGACCGATATCGGCTGAACACGAAGAAGTGACTGCCGCATGAAAAGTATCGTTCAGCAAAGAATTCATTTCTTTACTTTCATCACCTAAAATTCCATTGAATTCTTTGTGACCTAGCCCAACCTCAACGGATTCAGTGTCCATGAATCCCTTCGAAATGCTAAAATAATCAGGCGGATTATCAACAGATATCATTCGTCTATTACAGACAGCTCCGTATGCTAAACTGTCAGTGACTCCAGTGGCTCCTAAGCCTGCCTGATTAGGCAAAAGAAAAAGGCCAGGAGTGAAGAAGGTAGCCGCTGAGGCTGTAGAATGGCGAGTTGCGACCAGTCCAGGCGGTGTAAACATGGAATGGAATCGCAGCAGGCTTTGTCCGCCGGATCGCTGAGCTGCCGTAACGGTGTTAGTAGCATTACTGGTCAATGGCGGTGGTAAAAGTGGAACAACAGCAGCACTCGTAGAGGCTCCCGGATGACCGCTAAAGTAAGCTAAATCTGTGGAAGTAAGCTGGTGCACAGAGCCAGTGTAGAAGAGGTCCTTTTTGTTACGTGTTAGAATACGGTCTCGCCTACGCGGATTAACTGACATTTGCCGGAGAGCCGACACTGCCGCTGACTTGGAGGTGACGAGTAAGGGTGTTTGATCCGTGATTGTCTCATTATCGTCAAACAGACCCGGAGCCTCTATAGCTCGCTCTTGCCTCTCATCATCAACGTCAACGGCACAAGTATTTGTCAGATGTAAATCGAGTTCGGAACCGTGTGGAAGCAACGGGTGTTCGGGGATAATGAGCTGGGGGCTTGCTGATTCTGATCTGATATCTGACTGGCCGGACCCTTTGGAAGCTTGTAGGAGAGGTGAGTTTGCAAAAAAGCGTAGCAACAACTTGGAAGGCCGGACAGCTGTTGAGGCTACTGAAGTGCTTGGTGAGTTGTGGTTGGCATCGCTAGCTGTAGCGGTCATAGTCATTACGTCGGGAATCTACATGCGAGCAGGAAAATCAAGAAAGCGAATAGATAGGAAACACTACTTGGTGGAATAAGAGAAATGTAGGAATTTTCCCGAACTCACGATGACTATGAAGCTATTAAATATAAATAAAAAATTAATTCACCCAAGTTACGAGTTTGTTAAAGACGAAAAAAACTTGTTTTTAATGATTAGCTGATGAGATCATGTGCAGATAATAGATTTATAAATTTATTGGTAAAAAAATCGGTGTGGCTGCCATTAACTTTAGCAATAACAAACGGGGTGGACCTTCATTTCGTATGAAAGTGCATGAAGAAGAGATGCGTGGATCGATCTCACCAAAAGAGGACTACTGAATCCTGTTGTACTGCAGCCTTTTGGCTTTTACACGACGTTCACATTGACGCAGTCCATGAGTCTTTCTTTCTCGTTTCAACTGAAAACTGGCTGAGCTTTTGTCCATCATATGATGGACATCAGAGCTTGAACTAATTCTTGCAAAAGTCTAAAGTTAGCAATAAGGCAAGAACACCATCCGGCTTTATCTTACCTCTTATATAGACTCAATAACGCAAAATAAAATTAAAAAACCTAGATAAATATAGAATGGTTTTGCTAATTATCTTTCATATCGGTCATACAACTTAAGCGAAAGAGATGAGGCACTAGAAAGGAGTACAAAAAATAAGGACGAAGAGTGATGCCACAACGGTTGAACAGAAAATTGGTCAAGCGGATTGACTTCGATTGCCAATTTGATAATTTATCATTCTGTGTTTGCGATGGCGACACTCAATGACGATGCTGGCAAAACGTTTGACAATGTACCTAACTGATGGTCCAATGCTGAAAATCATGAATACTATAGCAGAGGACATGGGACTAAGTACGCCCCACAAGGTTTCCCTGACGCACCGATCAAGTTGCAAAGACAAGCTCGAACAAACAATATAAAGCTAGAGGAGACTGCGACTAAACAGTAGGCCATACCATCTTAGTCTTCATATCTACAGAGGCTAATAAATTTTTTGTACAAAAGCAGTTTCGAGACTACCAGCAAATCAGTTATCTGAGATGTATTAACCCTATTTAGTTTAAGGTGGTGAAAGACTGGTAGTAGCATTTTTCCACAATGATATGAGAACTGGCGTTGACATTGAATTTAATATAGCCTTTGAAGATATGAAGACCAAGATATTGTGGCCTCTAGTATGGTCGTAGTTTCCTTATGATTTATAGAAGTGGGTTTACCTCGTTTTCGCAACTTGGTCTCGTTATCAGAGATACATAGTAGAACGCACCTAGTCCGAAGTCGTCTGAAATAGTAGTTTTCGACCCACTTAATATAGCCTTTATTTCCCAAAAAATGTTCTCATCCAGGGTGGACTGCAGTTTTGACCTCACCTAGATCGTATCAATACCTCCAGTATGAAAGTGCAGCATTTGAGTTTGACACATTAACCACTGAGCCGCATGGGCACGAGTGCCTTTGGGTCACAGGGCAGATGTGGCTTTCAAGGAAAGCCAGGTTTTATCCATATCATATTGTTTGGTGGGATTCTTGAGGAAGTAAGCGTATTTTTGCTATAACAATTGACTACATTACTTCTTTTTCGTATAAAAGCAGAGTTTAGGGACTACCAGTAAATCAGTTATATGAGATGTGATATTAAAAAAACCTGTCCTTGCTTTACATTCATATCAGCCCTGTGACCCAAGAGCATCATGGTAATGGGGATGAGTGATAACGTGTCAAGCTCACATGCTGCACTGTCACGGTTCGACTCAAGCTGGGGGTGTTGATAAGACCTAGGCAAGGTCGAAACTACAGTCCACCCTGGATGAGAACAACTTTTGGAAACACAAGGCTATATGAAATTCAATGGAAACGTCAGCTCTATTCATATCATTGTGGAAAAATTTAACTACCAGTTATTCGTCACCTTAAGCGAAATAGGGTCAATATATCCTATAAAAATAATAAATTTTGTTTGACCTAGTTTTCGCAACTTGGTCATATTGGTGGAAAGACTTAGAGGAACGCACCTTGTATGCATAATCCTTTCCAAAGTCGTACCGTGGATGTGGCACATTCCCAGACTTTTCGCCGGCATCGTCAATGAGTTCTACCATTTGTAGCACCATATTATAGCTCGTCAAAGAGACAATTGAAGCCAATCCTTTGACCAAACGTGTGCTAAACAGTTATGGTATCTCCCCTTCTGCCCTGGCCCATTCACATTTT